CAGTAAATTTATTTTACTGTCTCTATATGACTTAGGGATTGATATTAAGAAAATTAATTAATTTTAGTTAAGAGGAATTATTTATACCTTATTGTTTGACAAAACATGTACTGCTGTGAAGAAAGAGGTTACTCTGAAATGTACTCACAACATGGAAAAATGAGGGTAGAGTGCTGGTCACTCCTTCTTTGTCTAATCTTAGGCTTTCCTAATGCTAATGGTATATGTGCAGATGAATGAACAGTAGCCAAGCATGAAAAATCTTGCATATGTTTAAAATAATAGTGTGGATTCAGAAACAGTGAAATATTATTTTTCCATAAGCAATAGCAGACTAGAAAAATCCCCAGTTTTATAGTGTCAGAACACAGGCAGTTGTGAAGGTTAAGGAGGAACTACCTTTAAATCAAGGAGCTGTCAGGATTTTCCCATTATGTTTTTTCGAGGGCTGAAGCCAAGATTAAACTCTATGTTTATCACTGTGATGTAAAAGACTATTACTGGATGATCGTGGTGCCAGCGATTGGCCTCTTTACAGTAACAGATTTTAAACACAAGTCCAGATGTGCAGCTTGCTAAAAACTTTTTAAAAAATGAACAGTAAGGATGAAGAAAATCTCAATAAGCAAGTATTTTTTTGCCTTTTTTTCCTTGTTCCTTTGCTTAAGACCTTTTAATTTAAAAAAAAAAAAAAGCTACTATGAAAAAAATAAAATTCCCAATTTTTTAAATTTAGAAATTACAGGAGCCTGTTTCCTTTTTATTTTTTTAAAATACTTTGATCACATCTGATGATCCTAATGACTTCAGCTGGATTAATTCATCAGCAGTTACCTCAAAGCATATAGGAACAGGTTTAGTTTGTCACTTAGATGAGATTTTTACATATTATCCATCCAGAAAGTCTTGGGTTTATAGCAGTTCCAGAGTAAAATCAGCCTATAGTGGCAGTGCATTTTTAGTCTATATATCTACAGCTACATGAGTCTTTTACTAGAAAGAAAACATCTCCAAAAAGTGTAACTTAATCAGTATTGTTATTCTAGCAGCTATTTCTAGTGGTCTAATTATAAATGCCACCACAGCTATTGCCTGATTGTTTATTCTGCAGCATATGGTTTATGTCAATATGTTTCTAAACAATAAAACAAGCAGAGTCCAGTTTTCAGTTAACTCTACATGATGTAATTGCAACTCCACTGGAAATTATGTATCAATTGTTGCATTTATCTAGCAGGCATAACCACACATGTTAAATATTTTGGCTGGTAATACAGTTTTTAAAGACACCCTTTTTGCTTAGAATGACCACAGATACATTTACTTAAATGAATGGGTTTACATGTACTTGTCTATTACAGCAGTCACACAGTGGATGTATTTATCTACAAATTGAAGTTTGGCTACTGTAACTGTAAGTGAGGAACATCAGCTTTTTCTGCTTTACTAGCTTTATCTTTAATCGCACTTACAGAGAGCCCTTAATGGATTGTGAGATCCGATAATTGAGGTGGCAAGCTTAATGGAGCATCTTGTTATGCTACACAGTTTTGTTGCAAATTATTCTATATATTAATGCATGAATCCTTTGCTATAGTAAAGTGAGGCAAGAATTTGAGTGGCTAAAGAAGGTGGGTCCAGCTAATGGCTGGTTGCAACAATAAAGCTTAAGAACCATGAGAGCAGCTGCTTTTAGAGAATGACACAATTATAAGATGCAACCAGTATCTGAAATGTAGCAGTGAATGATTTTGTCTAGCAGTGGTTTATCTGAGTTAAAATAACAATGGTTAAAAAGTGCACATGTGATTATCTTCATTCACCCTGTAAAAGCCAGGAGATACTAACATCTGTTCAGTATCTTTTATATATGTGACTGTACGCACTATGTCCAGGTCTTCTCGCCTCTCTGTCTGTGGAGATACTGAGCAATGTCACCACTTTCAGTGCAGAAATATATGGAGACATTTTTTAAACAGAGTAAGAACTGTGGTCTAGACCATTCCCTGTCAGAATAATTTCTGAAATAGGTTTTTGGCTAAGTGGTCCATTTGGTAAAGGCATAAGGTCTCTTACTGAAACAGTCACCATCCGTCTGAACTTCTGCTGTAGGAACTGCTCACAAGCTTGGTTACTGACTGTGCCTCTCACTGTATCCTTTTGGCAGCCATCTGTCTCTCTCACAGGATATTTCTTGTTAGTGCAGTATGGAGAATTTCCTGTGTCAGTGACTATTCTTACAATACATCAAATAGGGTACTGCGAGAAAGGCACATGTAATCCTTATGACATGCAATAATCCACATTATCTCTTCCAAGGAAATTCTGCCAGCTAAAGGGGCAGTAGTTGCCTTATCACACTGAGGCAAAGGTTATGCTTCCCTCCCTGCCACCAGTACTGATTATCTGTTTATTGCAAAGCACTTGATTTAAAGCCCACGTTTACTCACTGTGCCCTGTGATGCTTAGCAAATTGAAGAAACTGTGCTTCTCAAAAAGCAACATGTACTGTGCTTTTGTACAGTACTGAGTGTCAATAAAATGCAGTTTAGCTAAAACAAAAATACTGACTGTCAGTAAAGAGCAGTTTAACTAAAAGAAAAGGCGTATTTCTGACAAAAAGTCTTCCACAGCAGCAGAAGCAGTAGAATTGACCCAGAAAATACTGACATTATTAAAAATGCAGGTTTAATTACTGGTTTTTAATATCCAAACTCTCATGTTCAAACCTTCAAACACAATAGCAGCATGAGCAATAGGCATTTGTAAAGTTGTTATCAGCTGAAAGATCTGTTAAAAACACAGCTAAAAGGTTTCTGCTTCTACCAAACGTGCACTCCTACACACGCCAAAATCTGTACGCCAAACCTGGTGTGAAAAAGGTTGCCACAGAAACCTTCCTGTGTGTATTGAGTATCTTTCTGCGTCATTTGTACATAGAATAGACAGAAATGTGTCTTTAACAGGCAGATTGCCCATTGCCAGGATGTAAGCAATTCCATGGGATATGATGAAACTTATTTTGAAAAATAAAGACAGAATGAAATGCAACATATAATCATTTTTGATTGAGACTAGAGGAAAAATGGTCCTGTTCAATGAAATATACAGGAAACATTTAGGAGAACAGAATTTAACTTTCAGGATTGTTAAACAAAGAGAGAAATAAAACTGTCACAAATTCTGTCATTTTTCATTAGAATTTTGAATTTCCAGCAACCTTCAGGGTGTTCATTCTGTACTTTACCAAAGTGCTATGTACACAGCTAAAGAAATAACAGAAGGTTTGGGGCTTGATGTAACTCCCAGTTAGCCCAAATTCACAAATGTGCAATGTATATAGAGAAAAACTGTTCACACAGTCTTACTTAAAGCTTCTTAACAGCTTAAAATGATAAAAAGTCCTTAACACAATTTAAGAACTTAAACCACTTAAACTGTTTGAAGCAGCTTGTGAGTTTGAAGAGTTCTGGCTGGGGAGGGAAAGGCATCCCTGCTGAGCTGCAGCCCTGGGAACAGAGATGGCCAGCAAAGGGGCCCTTTTGGAGCCAAACTTGGGAGACCTGAATGTGACATGATGGAGAAGAAGGAAGTATTTTCTACGTATTTTTTTATATAGTGTGTATATGCCCGGATTGCTTTGCTTTAAATAGTATTGCAGGGAATTTTACATGGGTGTGAGGTGTAAACAGTGGCATCCTTGCAGTGAAACAGGGAAAAGAGTTGCAGAAAAATACTGTCTATTGTATGGAAAACAGTTTCACCTCATGGGCCAAGTGAAGGCTCCTCAGTAGCATTGTGCTTGCATTCTGCAAGAGCTGCAAGGCAAAATGTTTTGCTTTTGTGGCTCCAGTAGTTGGAGGCAAGTGGGAGGTGGTATGAGTTTGCCTTTCAGATGTTTTGAGGATTTTTTTTTTTCTAAAAGATTGTTTTGGAGAGAAAGAAATGGGGAGAGTAGAGAGGGTTGCTTTAGTTCAACTGATCTCAAACAGCATTGACCAACAGTCTGTTGGTCATATCAGAAGGATGTTGCGTTATGTGAAGTTACACATTATAAAATGCAAAATAAACCATTATTTATGAGATGCAGTTTGATTCCTCCATGTGGTGGTCAGTGGTTGAATGTGTGTTTATGTGTGTGTATGCTCAGATGAAAAAAATGGTGGCATTGCACAGAAGTGATACTTGAGGACAAAGGAAGGAGGCACAGAATGGGAATGAATGCATAAAGGTGGATACTAGGATGCTGCTTCTGATGCCAGTGATGCCACCTTAAATGTTTTGAAACTTAGCCTGGTTTTCATTGATGTAGGCAGTGATTTACACCTTCCTGTGCAGAAAAGGCTGTAAACCAGGAGTGAATTACATTCTGTACAATTTGAAAATAAATGGTGCATTCACAGCCACTCAGGTTGAGGCCCATTTACACTTCCAGAGTGGTATGATGAGTAAATGAAAGTTAGGCCTGTGTGTGAATGAAAAATGCCTGTTTTACCAGAGGCTGTGAAAAGAGAGAGAGAGTTAGTGGAAATTGGAAGCAAGACTTTTATTTGTTTGCTTAAAGCAGCTGTATTGATTTGGAGTCAGATGGAGTATTGGTGTAACTGCAAACTAATTCCACTGAATTCTGCAAGGTATGTCTGGTGATGCTGATGGGGCTGGAAGTTTGTATTTATTAACTGAGGGTTTCCTATGCTCGAGTGAGTCTTTATTTTGCACTATGATATTGTGAAAACTTAGTATTGTAATATTTAACATGAATGTTATCTGTCTTAAAAAAGTCTTTACTGGGGTGAAAAAGAGCTCGGGTATAGTTAAATTAATACAATATCAATACAATTACATTACTTCTTTGTTTTATGATGAAAAAAGAGATATGCAAATGTTACTTAGTGAGGGTAAGTGCTTTTTGACTAATGACATAGTAATCATTTATTGAATGAAATCTTGGTAATGATGTACTATGTAATACTAATAACTCAATATCACTTGAATTTCAGAACATTTCAGGATCTGTCCAAACAAATGGATATATCTTATGGTACAGTCAGGGATTCAGCAGTGTATGAATACTTTAAAGCAAAAGGGACCAACCCTTTGGAGCAGGATAACACATTTGCTGAATTGTGGAGGACTATCAGTAAGAATAATGGAGCAGATAATTGTGTATCGAACCCTTCTGAAGGCATCAGAAAGGTAAAAGTGGATCACAGGGGGTTTCATTTATTTTTTGTGCTGTATTGATGTTGTTTGCATAGAGTTAATAGTGTTCAGTCACAGGAAAGCAATTGCATAGTCATTAAAAAAAGAAAAAATTCCTATCTAAAGTTCCTTCTAGTAACCCAATGGCAGCTTAGAATCATGTTTTTGGGTCGTGGTTTTGAATGTAAGTACTTTAGCTCTACCTAAATCTTCAGTATGTAAGTCTTTCTTTGGATCTGGCTGTGAGATTTCTCAGTTTCTTGAGAGCTCTGTTAATACCATTTTCAATATCATTCTTTACATTATCCAGGTACTGACTCTTTGCTCATTTGAGTGGGTTTTTTTTTTTTCAGAGGTGGTGGATTGAACTTGCTGGAAACATGAGTAAGAATCAAGGGATCCACTGAACATAAAATCATTTCTCTTCTCTTAGAACAGAATTTTAATGAAAGATTTTCTTTGTTTATTCCAAACTTTAAAAAATGCACTCATATGTTGCTGTGCTTTCACTTGCTTTTCACCATGCTTTTATTTCTCTCAGATATGACCACACAATTATTCTGTAAGTCTACTGTCATTTATTACAGCTAGATTTGCCTAAGCCAGAAATGTAACTGTAGGTTGGCAGGCTTTTCAGAATACCAATTATATTGTCTGTATGGGACTGGCAGCTCCATCCTATCTATGTGATAATAACTTTTCATATTGTTTGATTTCAATATAGTAGGATGATTTTTATATAACTTGATCAGTTCATTCAATTAACATCAACAATAACCAAATTTACTTCAGTCCCCAAAGCTGACCAAGGCTGCTATTTGATTAGACACCTGCATAAATTTGGCTTAATATTTCATAACATTGTCAACTAAACTGTTGTGTTTGTAGTTTAAATGTTGCTCTTCCTAGCTCATTGAGCTCTTTGAATGGAGACAAGTTTTTCATGTCAAGTATTATGGCTAGAAACTGTTTTTTCTAAAGAAGAATTGAGGTCAGGCAAGGAAATGGGACTTCCTCTTCATAAACATGTACTGCTGCGTGAAAAAGAAGTAAATGTGCCTTAAAAATGTATTTTATAGGAAATAGGAAATCTAAATCTCTCTAGCATAAAGAGATCCCTAAACCATTTTTCTCAATGAGGACTGACACAATGCAAAAAAAAAAAAAAAATTACTATTATCCTTTCTCCCCTCCTTCCCTTTTCCATTTTCTTCAGACAGCATCACAGTTCAGCTGCAGTTACAAAGAAAGCAATGCCGCTTCAATGCAAAACAGGAGAGTGCTGCTTATTTATGGTACAGGCAGGTATTTCAGATGTTTGTCTCTATTCCATTTACCTCTCTCCATTTTCTGGAGATTTTCCTACTCCCTTTGACTGCCTAAAAACAAAAGGATAAAAGTGGAACAAAGTCCTAAAAGCTTTTGTGGCATTTGGTTGCTATGGCAGAGGTCTCTCTTCAGACACAGTAGTTCCTGTAGCCACAATGACCATCTCTCATTGTCAAGGCAAAGCTTCTGCAACACTGGTCGAGCCATGGAAAGCGCATTTAGGCACTGCAGAATCACCTAAGTGACAGAAGCATGTTTCAGAGACGAGGGGGCAAGTTGTTTTTGTCGTACGCTCAAGGCAGTTGAAAGTGGTCGCTGAAGATGGAAAACATCATCCTATTCATAAACGTCTCTGCACAGCATAAGAGAAGGTTACCAGACAAATCACTGCTCCATACAAAATGCTATTTTGCCACTTGAGTTTTCTGGTACTATAAAATATGAGGATTGACTAATGCTGTAGTATGGAAAGTTTCTTTCTGGGCCAAGCTACAGATAAGATCCCCAAGAAGCATGCAGTAGGTAGCTCCTGCCATCTTATCCCAGGTGGACACCGGTACTGGAAGAGCACACATTTCTAAGCCATTTGTAAATCTCAGCAAACTTTTTACATAATCATAGAATCATAGAATAGTTAGGGTTGGTAAGGACCTTAAGCTCATCTAGTTCCAACTGCCATAATACCCACAGCCCATCAGTTCTTCAGGGCAATTATTAATTACTACAACATATGTAATAACCTGTGACTTTTTTTCACTGTGGGCAGCCATTTTTGCTTTGAAAGAATGAAGTAATATGATCTTTCATATATTACTATGAAGTAATATGTAATCCTCTCTATATATTTTATATATATACATATAGGAGAATTAAACTGTTACTGCTGTATTTTTTAAAGGCTTTGCTTCGGTGGAGACTGTTCTCCTGTCCAATCAATTTGGTGCCAAAATTTCTCTGAATCCTTTCTTTTCTTCCTGTACATCACTTTTGATGAAAAGTGATGAAAATCAAGTACAGTACAAAATGTGAATGTATCATTGATTTAGGTGATGACACAGGAAGAGTTTATTCCTTCCCTTTTTTGCTTCCTTCAAAAGTTTCTGTCTGAAAACTAAACATTAAATCAGAGCATTTCCTGTTGAACAGTCACCTCTGTTAATTTTTATCTTGAAAGTAAAAGTAATTTAAAAAGTTCAATTAGTAAGATTATTTAAAACTATATTTTCCAATAATTTATTGTCCACAGCAAATTTTATATTGTGAATTATGGTTGCTCACCCATGTGTTTTCAGGAGTCCTCATAAATTTCTTCATTTCTTGACCCCTTTGGAGGAAAAGCAAATGCCTCCTTAAACCTGAATATATTACATCCTTCAGTGGCTCCTTAATTATATTATTTTTTAAATCATTTGAACAGGATTAAATGACATGTTTTCATTTTATTAGGACCATGTTGCTTCTCTTAAAACACTTCTTTATAGCTAATAAATGTTATCCAAGCATGTTTTTTAACTACTCCACTAATGCCAATATAAAGGTCACTTTTTCATATTTCTGTAGTACCAGCTATATATTGGGATCAGCTGCAGTGACACTCTGTTCTGGCTGTAAGTTAATCATGAATGTTTCATTATTCTGGCACTTTAGCATGGTAGCTTCTTCATAAGTTTCAGATAAATCACAGACATATCGTTGATCAATGTGAAATCATCTTTTTTCAAGTTATTATTTCTTACCATTCTTTCTTTGAAGAAAACCGTCATTTAAGCCAAGATCCTTTAAACAGTATTTTTCCATCTCCCTCCATGTTGAAGAGTGACAATATGAGGTTGCTTACAGCTAAGTATTACTGTTCTTTCTGTGGTCCTTATTATATCTAGGAAGCAATTTTCCCATGGCTCTTTTTTTTTTTTTTTTTTTTAATTTTATTTTATGATTGTGAAGAAGAAATATCTTTCATGTAAGTTTTGCCTAGAAGATTCTTTTATTCTTAAATCTGCTTTCTTAAACCTCTTTGACCAAAGATAAACCTGGTGATTTTGGTGTAAACCACCATAGTAGTTCCACCTGGATGGAATAAATGAGCTTTGCTTTGGCTGAATTTCAGTTAAAAGAGGTTTTTGAAAGTTTAACCATGCTATTTTTGTTTTGTTCTGCAATATGCCTGCATGCTGGGAGTCATAGTAAGGCCTTAGGAAAAGTATAAAATTTAGCTTATTACTGTGCTTTATTTCATTTTTTATTCAAGCTATCTTAGCTATTCTCAGCTGCTATTTGCCACATTCCGTTTTACCATCTTTCTCTCTATATTACCTTTGCAAAGATGTCTGATCAACAGAGAATTTTTTGGGCCACAAAAACATACAATGCAGGCTTTAGGTGCCTGACCTATGAATGCAAGAGGCTGAGGATATGGATCTTTGCTGTATTGTGATTAGGACTCGGTTTCATGTGTAGGTACATCTGTATCATATGCAACTAGGTAGCCTTGAGACAGTTCCTGCTTATACATCCCATGCATCAGTACCAGGCGTTTCTTGGAATTCTTAGTCTTCTTACTGCGCATATCCCTCAGGCCTGGAAGCTAAGGGGTATGCACATGTGCACACGTGCATTCTTTCACGTGACAAAAATGAAAAATTTAAACTACTTTTAAAAAGCTTTGGGTTGCTTTTTGGTTGAAAATGTGACCTTGATTTTATTTGGCTTTTGCTGCTTGCCTACTGAAGCTATAGAGAATATAACACTGTCTCAAACACACATGTATGTCTGTGGTTGTGTGTCTTGTACATACATTTTCAAAGTTTGACAGATTTTCATTAAATTGAACAAACAATACTGCTTAGCTGTCACAGCAGATATTAATAGAGATGTCAAGGATGTTGAATTTAGACCACAAATAAACACTTGGTCATAAGGAAGCTTTGCATGCAATGAACACACTAATAGTACAAGGTCTCCACTCTCCAGAGAAGAAAATTATGCAAGTGAAAGAAGTTTTGGAAGAGACAAATCTTCCCTTAGGAAAAAGGAATATTTCAAGATTCTGGTTTTGGCAATCAAAGAGGGGAGACAGTCTTACATTCAGTATTTCTGGAAGTTGAGAAGCATGAATAGCTAAGAGTTGAAAACTCAGATTCCTGTTTATGCTAAAATGATCAGGCTGTCAGAGAAATAATGTTCTACATATGTGATTGCACTGGATAGAATTATTTATGTCACAAAAAATATAAAATTGAAATGAAGAGACCTGTCTGACTTTGTTTATTGACCACTTACAGTTGTAGGATGTAACTTAGGACAGCAACAATGCAAATGCAAGAGAAGTAGACCTTTTCAAAAGATCTGCTGTCCAACTTTGAAAGACAGTGTACAAAGCTCTGCTATATAAACTAGCATACAGAATGCTGAGGCTTGAAAAGTAAAATCAATAATGTGACCTGAAACCAGAACATCTAGACATTGTCTTATAATTGAAATTGAATGTTTGAGGAAGACTCCTCAAATATTACTAAGAGAAAGATGATGAATGTATGACATGTCAGTGTTCTTCTTTTCTAATTTGTAAATTTGAAAAGATCACTTGTAGAGCGATTCTAAAACAACTAAAAGATATGGCTCTCTAAAAGAAACAAACATACAAAAAAAACCACACACAGACAAACAGAACAATGCAAACCGCATTTTAGGAGAGTGATTTAGGCCAAATCTTTTCTGGGTCTCCTCTTTCTGTACATCCATCAGGCAAGTTTTTGTTCTCTAATAACAGGGATTTTGTGTAAATTCTGTGTACAGTATCAAGTGCTGTTGTCTTTGCTTCAGTTAGTACATATTTTTAATGCACTTGGACAGTTTTCTATTGTAGGTAGCAAAAGCCTATGTACTATTTACCATAAAACACAACCTGCCTGAGATGTGCAAAAATTGGGCTTTTGATGGTCCTTCTCTGTCAGGAACACCTGTGGGACTAATGCTCATTGCCTGTTGTCACTAACCAGGTAGGAGGCCTATCAGCACCACTGCAGATGTGAAATCATAAAATCTGAATTTTTAAAGCCCATCACAGGAAGAGCAGAGGGCAAGATGCAGAGATTTGCTGCTAACAACCCAGTTAGTTGTACATGATCATTCAGAAAATACCTTTGTAAAGCACATTTTAGGCTTCCAAGAATGTGAGTTGCTGGCTGAATATAGGCTAGATGCCTTGAGGAATCACTCCCTTGCCATCCTTAATTTTTGATATATCCTTGTGTTAATAGGTTATGAAGCCTTTTCTGGCTGTTCCATATAGTAAACAATAATTTGTTTGTTCTTTCCTCCTTTGCGTGACCATTACCAGTTTAGGTAGACAGCCAGGCATAGTATTACAATGCAGATGTGGAAGTCTTGCTCTGGTCTGGTTTCATACAGTGACATCAAAGTGAGAGATATTTTTATGAACATGTTAGTTTAGTAAGTTGTGTCAGCTAAATCAAAATATGATTTTAAGAGTAGAGTCTTGTGGCTCCTATTTGAATAATTCCTGTAAGGCCCATACTGTAGTTCAGATTTTAATACGGTTTTGTACTAGTATAGCAACAGTTCTGTGGCTACATGTATTAATTACTGTTATTCTGAACTCACCAGGGAGGTGGCAAAGGAGCAAGCAGGGACAAGCCCACAATGGTAGCATATCCTTAACAAAGCGGTCAGTACAGGCCTATTTAAATATTATGAAAGAAGAAGGATGTAACATTTTGATTTTGGACTAACACAGAAGCAAATTAATTTGGGGATCTTTGACTGCCCTGATGTAGATAGAAGGAAAGTGGGGAAAAGTGGTGGATTGTGCTAGATGGCTTACAGAAAATCCAGACAACATACTTTTAGTCTTTGTTTCCCTGGATCCTACCCACTAGAGAATAAGTCACCCATTTGAATTATTGTGATGTTTAAGCAACTGTCAGAGACTTCAGCAAGCTATGGTTTATATCAAAGAGTGGTGAACTAAATTAGCATAATTGCTCAACTGAGGAGTCCAATATAATACAGTAACTAAGGGAGTCTTACAGCCTTACTGGTAAAATAAAAAGCTGAGCTTACACAAAAATGGAAAATATGTGGAAGGATGAACTAATTCTGTGTCAAAGCTGCAACCATTGCCTAAGGGAGCTTACGGGAACCAAAGAAACACATGCAGGACTTCAGTTCTCTGTCTTGCCTTTTTCTAACCTAAAGAAAGATCTGAAATCATTTACTTGCATTAGATGTTCCAGCCCATCTGTTTCATTGTGCTCTGTATGTTCACTAGAGACTTAAAAACATACTACTAAAATATATTAGGAAACCAATTATTACTTTAGCCAATCAAAATTATGACTTTGATGACTTTTTTCTTTACAGAATCCCTATCCAGGGATGTTTCTTACATATTATGTTAAGTAAGGTGATTTACATTCATTGTATGTACTACAAGCAGGCATTGGTTTAAGTCCCAATTAAAGCTGATAGATGAGTGGGTGTGTGCTAAATTAAAACAGTATTTGTCCCAAAACTGAGATAATAGGAGATGCTGGTGACTCTTCTTACCTGTGAAAAAAAAAGAAGGAAACTTAAAGCATGCCTTTGGTTAGCGGAGTAACGTATTTCTTGTTATGTAAGCCTTGCCTACACTTGCAGTTGGCTATGTTATCCTATGTATTCCTTTAAAAATGGAATACCTTTTAGCAAGATTGGACTAGATGAAGTATGGCTGGAAGGGAAGAGCATTAGAAATATACTAAGACAAATAAACTGTGACCTAATGGAATTATCACTATAGAGTAATGACAAGCTCAGGGTTTGTTTGCTTGCTTGGGTTTTGTCTTACCTAGAAATGTAATTTGGTTTAGATCATGTTGTGTTCATGCTGTATTTACAGGCAAAGAAAGGAAACTATGCTTTCCTGTGGGATGTGACAGTGGTAGAATATGCTGCGCTAACGGATGATGAATGCTCTGTGACAGTCATTGGAAACAGCATCAGCAGCAAAGGATACGGGATAGCACTCCAGCATGGAAGCCCCTACAGAGATCTTTTCTCTCAGAGGTAAACCAAAACAAAGCTCATTTGATAGGACTCCTCTCTAAAATTAGCAACCATTTATGATTCATGTTAATTTTGGAAATTATTGAATAAAGGACAGTAAATAAGTGACAGCAGAGACATTATGAATTCAGGCTTCAACAAAACTTTTACTTCTGCTCCATGTGCATCTGCTTGGAAAGGAGGGGGCTGGGGGTGGTGTGTGGCCTCACACCTCCAGGCAGCACTGCTCTGGCAGAAAAAGGGCTAATGTCCTCATAGCTTTTTATGAGCTAGGGGAGAGATTGAGGAGAGCTCTTTGATTCATGCTATATTTTGACAGCTGTGAAGCAATGTGTTGCTCCCTACAAGTAAGCAAGTAATAACGCCCTGGTTTATCCTTTAGAATGGGGAGGGAGGTTGAAGATTCACAACAGTGCAGGAAAACAAGAATTGTTGAGTATTGCATGGGATTGTGAGATTATGAGACTATAAAACTGTACCATTTAGTGATCTTTGAGCTATCAGCTAGGAGTGTTTTTCTTTTCCATGTGAGTGTGTACACTGAAATGGAGACATGCAGTTGTGCAGGCATGTGTGGTCTTAGCAGAAGGTGAGCGGGTGCTCTGCTCCAGGCAGGGAGCTGAAGCAAGATTTCCGTGTTTTCCTCCTTCTTTATAAAAAGGCGTAAAACTCCAGCTGCATAACCAGAGACAAAGCTGCCTCAAGAGAAAAGATTGTTAGTAAACAGCTAAAAGAGTTATCAAACCAAATCCAAAATGAATCATTCATGGAGAGAAGGGACACTTCACAAGAGACAAAACAATGATTAATTAGCAACTGTTAACACAGTAATTCAGGCATTAAGTAACAGCATTGAAGTAAAATCTTTTGCATAAACTACATTTGCTGAAGTAAATGAGTTGGTTGCTGCTTAAATAGATTTGTATTAAGTGGCATACAAACAGTAGCATGCTTAGTCTCATATGATTTTGAAATTATTATGGGAGAGCAGCAGTAGAGTGGATTGAGCATGTCACTATTGGGACCAGCTGTTGCAGCTGAATGTAGCCAGACCAGACATGACTAACTGGAATGTGGTGATTTCCCTTGGAAATGCTTCTTGCGTTACAGTGGAATTTTTTACAGCCTCTTCTTTTTCTGAAGTTGCCTCATGGAGTTCACCTGCTGCTGTGAGGAGAAAGGAATTTTGGTATAACGGAGTTTCAAATGAATACTGCTACAGAGTGGTGGTTGTGGGATGCAATTTTGAATTGGGGAATGGTAGATTTAAGATATATGTGTCATACAGAAAAGACAAAAAACTGAGAAAGTATCACTGTAAATAATACTTGTTTTTTCGCACTTCTGCAGGATCCTAGAGTTGCAAGAAAGTGGAGATTTGGATGTGCTTAAACAGAAATGGTGGCCACGGATGGGACGTTGTGACCTGAATAGTCATACCAATGCACAGACAGATGGGAAGGCACTCAAGCTTCACAGTTTTGCAGGCGTTTTCTGCATTTTAGCAATAGGCCTTCTTCTTGCATGCTTGGTGGCAGCATTGGAGTTGTGGTGGAACAGCAACCGTTGTCATCAAGAAACACCGAAAGAGGTCCATAACTTTTATTCTTATCACAATTAAAAGTAGAAAACATGAGAGTGGAAGTTGTGGGATTTTAGGTGCTCACATACAATAAATTTGATTTATTTTGATTTGCCATACTAAGCTTTGCATATAACTTTTGGGTGGTTGTTTCTAAACAAATAAAAAAAGCAAAACATACTGTGCACATAGGAGGTGCCAAACTGACAGCCCTGGAGACTAAAGTCCTCTATTTATTTATAGAGCAGATACAGCATGGGCAGCAGCAGTGCTAACTTCCCCACATTGCCCCACCAATGTGCCTCAACCCTGACCTGGAGAGACCACCTTTAGGGGTAAGAGAGTAGTTCAGAAACATACCCTCGGCCTCTCTGCTGTGAGTGATGGGGAGGCCAGTCATGGGCATCCAGTTGTGCCATCTGTGGTAATATTTTCTCTGAGCTGAGACCCCATCCATCGGCTGTGAGAACCATATCCATCCTGTGCAAGCTGTGCAGCTGCCAGCCAGCTGGTAGCTGTTTTCCTTCATGGCTGACCTAGGCTGAGTTTGAAGAGATAAATGAGCAATTAAAAATAAGCCAGCTAGTTATTAATTGAGTAAGCCATATTGCCATGAAACTGTTCAAATTCCTTCTTTTCTTTTGAAATCAGTTTTACTTCTAAAAGTAGGAGCCTCTGAGTAAATGAACCTTCGTATGACATATTTCACCTAGGAAAATACATCTGAATTTCTTGGGTTTGAAGTTTTCATGCACAGCAGTGAGTAATATTTAGCAATGCTATGGTAGAATCCGTCCACACTCAAATCTGTCTCGCATGAAGCCTGTATTTGTTTACATAGATTTAATGTTTAACAAACTAACCTCTTGTAATTTTGGAGGCACTGAGGCATTTGTAGGTCCTTTCATTTTGGAACAGATGTTTGTTACAAGCAAATAATAGCAGTGTGCTGCACTACAGCTGGAAAATAGTACGTAGCCCATCAATTCTAATCTATATTTCTCAAGTTGCCAGGAGTACTGCACTAATTGGCATACCTATCACCTGTAAGCAATGCTGGCAAATGGGACCTGAAGATATATGCTGCAGTCTGTAATGTTGTGAAATATTTATCAGTAAGGTTCCATTCTTCTGAGTTCCTGCTTCTCCCATTTGAATTCATCCATCAAGTGCTCAGTGATAAACATCTGTACCATGTTTGTGGGACAAAGCTGCAAAGTCACTTGCCTGTGGCTCTGCAACGTACAATAGTGAACGGGAAATTTTGGTAAAAGGAAGCATCCCTCTGGTTTGCACAATGCAGCACTCTAAAAGCAGGCACAGGGAGAGCACAAGTAGGTACTCTTGTTTATAAAGAAGCTTTCATATGAACAGAAGTGCATATTTAATTACTGTATGGTTAAATACTGGAGCATTTTGCCCTGCTGTCTTGTTGAAGTCACTCCTGCTGTAACCCCAAAGGCCCCACGCCATGTTAGCATTGCTAAGATGTAAACCCTTGCAGTAGACGGTTCACTGCCCACTGTGAAAGCCAGGCAGGGCAAGGGACAGGGACGTCGTCTGAAGCGTCCTCATGCTGCATGTGCGCAAGTATTCATTTTGCCATAGTCTGCAGTGCGTTCCCCTCTCTACGCTCAGGGACTTGTCTTTGTGCGACTTCATAGAGTGAGATGAGAATATGCCCCAAAGGCAGTTTCATATAGGTAAGGCAAAATAATTCACTCCTTTATTGCAAGGAGCTTTAAATACCCAGTTTCCATCTCTTAAGAGTCTTACTGAATTTAAATATTTTCTCTTTGCCCATCCCCTTAATTTATCCTTTTATAACTGTAAGAAGAATTATTACAGGTCCCTGCCTACCCCATCCCATCTTTTCTCCCCTTCCTGTACCTCTCCTACTCCTCCCCTTTCCCTCCAATGCATTCTTGATCTGGGTTGCTCTGTACATCCTCTTTTGCAGTTTCTGTGACGAACGACAGGATACTTCTAAGCTTCCAGTTTTTTAAATATACTAAAGCTGTACTTGGGAAGATGGCCTGGCAGGGAGCTGGGTCTGGCCTTAAGAGCACAGCCAGCCTTGGAGGCAAATTAAACTTAGGCATAGTGCACATGAGCAGGCTCAGGAAAGGTCAGTGATGTGGGTACTGCTGAAGAGGGAACAGAGTCAATGGGCACCCCGCACAAGTAGGTGTTGAGGTTGAACGAGAAAGTGTGTGATCCCGAGGAGAGGGCACAGGGAAGAGAGCTCAAACGCCAAGCCATCAGGAGGGTATGTGAAGCTAGCAGGATGGAACGTAAAGAGGGGTCCCCGAAAAGGACAGCTGGGTGCAATGAAAGGCTAGAAGCACTTTTGGATCAAGTCAGAGTAGCCACAGGGAAGGGCAGCTGCTGCCCAGCGCCATGGATGGGCGAGTCTTCAAGGGTCTTCTGCTTAAATGTGACACAGACACGTTGTTGTCAACAATCTAAACTCTATTTCCTCCCGGACCCGCTGCACATTGGGTCGTGCGGAACATTAACCCCACGGGAGCTCCAAACACACCCCCGAGAGCGCCCCGGCGGC